TTATATATTGCGCGTCCCTGCCTGCCCGTTGTATCGAACTCATAAGTTGCTACCTATTTTCAATTATAACTCGAAAACTAAGCTTCGGACAAAATTTTGTAAAAGCAAAAATCGTCTCAGAATTCGCTCAAGAATATGGCATTGCAAGGACATCAGATTATTTTGAATCACCCTGTATATTCAAAACAGTGTAGAGATCAGGTGTATCTTATCAATTGTATATCTAACTGTCAATCGGTAACATGCATTTTTGACAATTGTATTTTGCACTTTTTTAAAATTAATTATAATTCAAGTAAATATATAAAAGACGTGATAATATTCTTTTCTTATCTTCGTGTTACTGATTGAGAATTGAGGTGCTTGGAAGTGTCGAAGATTATTGAGAATATCGCGGAAGATTACTCACCTTACAGTATCGTGATAAGTCTTGGTGAGGGTAACATGATGAACAACCTTATTTTGTTTGGAGTGAGCAGAGCTCAGACTGCTCGCGAGGATGGACGCGCCGCCGTGCTGAAGGTGGCCACCGGAAGCCAGGGTTTGGTCGTTCGAGCGGACTGCATCGTCAAAGGGCGGGGGCGGGGTAGAGCAGGTGGAAGGAAGGGTGCCACCTACGAAAAGCGCACTACAATTAGCCCTAATTAATACCGCGCGGGTCGAACGCTAAAGGCAAATAGGCAAGGGTGGGATCGCGGGAGGGGATGGACGGAATAAAAAACTTGTTTATCAATGCAGAATCACACTTATATGCTGTTGCGGAGACGACATATCTTTGGCAAAAAAATTGCCATTTATTTTGAATGGCCAAATATTGTTATAATAATAATAAGTCGATTTCTTATTATGTTTAAAATATTGATATATTTTCTGGTACTTGCGAGAAAAGTTGAGAAATGTAGAAATACTTTTTGTGACAGTGTTCACTGCCATATCGAGTTGTCGTCTGGACGTACAAGGTGGTTCAAAGTTAATGTCCATCCCTTGTTATTTCCTTGATATTTATATGGACAGGAACTCTGGAACCATCTTGTACGTGAGCCCAACTATGGTACGATCTTCCGGACTTTTTACATTTAAGATAGTAATGATATCTGCTCTAATTCCGCAAAGAATTAACCCTTCTGCTTATCTACATGTATGTACACGGTTGACGAGACTTAGGATAAACAACTATAAATATTCACAAGGATAAAGATAACTGTACAGAGTTTCTAAGCACAGTTGTATACGCAGCAAGGAAACCACTCAAAGTAAGATTGAAACGACAACATTTTTACAGATAAGCGAGCTAGCAATACAACTTCACGAACAAATTTTTTTGTCATGATAATTATATCGTGGCGTAGTTATGGATTAGAGATTGTTATACTGCATTTTAAGCATCTTTTGAAAATATAAAACTTTCTCTAAAAATCACGCTGCGGTCAAAATAAAAAATTCAAAATTAGCGGAAATCTCAAAGGTGCACTAAACTATATTACCTATGTGTCTATGCAAGTGCAATAGCAAATGAACTAAATAGCTAGGATGTATAGGACTTGAGTTTTACACGATACGACCAATACATTATCACGAATGTACTCGAATAAACGGATAGACTCGTATGAACGATACAGACACATATCACACAAACATAAATTATCAATAGATACCTAATTTATAGAAATTTCCAATTAGCTCAATATATACACAATATAAGTAGTTAGCAAGTAAATAAACGCAATTTGCCAAAACGGACGTCCAATTATACGAACTAAGGTAGTAAAAAAGAAAAAAACACGGAAGAAATTTTATTCCAATAATGTACGTAAAATGTCACATTCCGCAAAACGCGCTGCGTTTATTCACTCGTTGATGGCAATAGAATTCTATGCATGCAATTTGTAATAAAACTCGGATGGTAAATAAGTTGTTAAATCAAGTTAATCAACCATAAACTATCATATAACGATAGCTTTACACAGCGATTTATGCTGTACAGAAACGATACCTCGTCGATATCTGAAAATCGACTAACATTGACATTGTCGCAGACTTGGAAAAAAATTAGGGAAATTGTCTTATTAGTCAATACAGATTATTCTCCTCGGTGTCTATTAAACGACGGAACATTTAATTAAATGTATCTCATACTTTTTCAATAACCATCACCGATAATACTGGTATCACAATCTGATATATGAGATCGGATGATGATATGCACAAAATAATAATTTTAAGAACACGTGCTTGCGTTGTCATGCAGCAGTGATGAAAAAAAAAAAAAGATTTTACATGATAAGCGTTCAGTGAAGGAAAGTGGAAGCTGTAATTCTTCCTTATAAAGTCATGGAACAAATTAGATATATTATCGTTCACACTCGGAATCGTTATCGGCTTGATAGATTATCAAGATTTTTAAATCGTGTAATTAATATCTTCTCAAGTTGTTTTTCCCCTTTCTTGTTCATATTATTAAATTTCACAGTAATCTAAAATTAGCGTAGTTAAGATATATCTTTATGTGAACGATCGTGTCTTTCGATAAGTATGTAAAAATGAGATATTCGGTGCCAGCATTCCAAACTCTTGCGATCTGGATGATAGATCGTTGCCGCTCGAAAGCGATTTAAACGTTTGCCTTTCGTGTTTATTCAGCATTTCCGCTTTCAACTTGAGTTTTTCTTCTTTCTTGTTCTTCAATCGGGTTTCATTGCCCAACGTTGAAAATTTTTCTTTAATCGCGCTAAGTCCACCTTCGTAATTTAAATTATACAAATCTACGTCTTCTTGTAGAGCGTCTTTCGTTTTGTTTTTCGCGTTTGCTTTAATTTTCTCGAAGCTCTTCACTTTTTCGGAAACAGAAGTTTTCACAACGTCATTGATTCCATTTCCAATATTGCCGAGACTGGAAGACATAAATACTTCTCGCTTGGTTGTGTTTAGGAATTTATCGCGATTTATATCTTTTAGATTATCTTTTTTAATATTCTCGTATAAAGATCGTTTTTCACGAAAAAGAGAGCTTTCATCCTCACTTTGATCGAATTTCAAAGATTCGTTTTTATATCCATCGTTCTTTTGTAATCTTTTATTATTCTGTCGATTAAATTTACCGATTCGTTCGCGAACTATTTTATCTTCCATGTCTTCATCTTCAGCGCGATAGTCTTTTGGGAAAACTCCTTTGAATCCGCCTCTTTTGTTTTCTTGTTCGTCGCTTATATTCATAAAGATATTCTTCCTCTCACCAAGATAGTTACTATTTTTATTAAAAGAACGATCCTGCTTTCTAGAAGTTTCATCACATTCCATTGTTGATTGTCTCTTTTCTGTTTTAAAATCTTTAATATTTTTACCACTTTTTACGCGATGAACTTGATAATCGCCACTTTTATTTTCTTGAGAATTTATTTTCAAAGACAATTTTTTATCCTTTTTCAAAGTTTTCGTTTTCTCACTTTCGTATAAATTTCCATTAAAAGATTCAGAAGTTTGTCTTTTCGCCGATGGTTTCGGCGCGAGTCGCTTCTTTCTTCTAGATTTCTTCCGAAGTTTTCGCAACAGCGTGCTATCCTTCTTAATTGACGCAAATTTCGAGATTTTTTGCTTTGCCGATTCTTCGGCAGATTTATCCTTCGTATGAGACGACATAACCGTAGGTTTGGCATCTTCGATTAATTTATGACGGTATGAAATTGTCGTGATCGTCGTGATAGACTCCTCGAGATTTTTTTGCTTTCTTTTCATCCTCTCGCAATACGTCTCAGAGTGCTTCTTGTCCTTTCGTGACATCTTGTAGTTCATCAGGTCCGCTCGAGAGCTCGGGTTCAGGAAGTACGTAAATTTCGCTAAATGGTCTGCCTTGGTGCTTCTTCTCTCCCTATTCTCTGTTCTCGCATGAGAATCTCCAGTTTCCGGTCCGATAGATTTCTTCGAGCGATCGGATCGGTAGATGCCTCTATCCGGTCGGAACGGGTACGGACTAGTCCTGATGAAGTAAGCATCCTCAACCTTCTCCACACTGACAAACTCCTCGTCTTCGTCGAATTCTCGGATACGCCAATCCTCGGCCGACTCTCTCGGCCAGCTGCTTTCAGCTTTACGGCTGCCGTGATGTGTGACGCGATACGTGTTGGGTGTCGATGTACGGGCATGCAACACGCTCGAGGTCGCGTTAGTAGCTTTAGTAGAAGTAGCGGCAGTGATAGAGGTCATAGTTTTAGCGGTGGTAGTAGAGGTGGTAGAGGAGTGATCGGGTAGGAGCAGGCGGTGCAGGTTGCACGAACTGTCATGCAAGCGGTATCTCGTGATTATGGCTGCTTCATCACCTCGGCTGGATGTTGCCGACGATGTCGTCGAGGCGGCGGCGCCGGCTGGCCCCCGGTGATCTTCGGAGGACCTGCCGGTCCGCGAGGAGCCCGTGCCCCGAGGCGGCACCGGCGGCGGCACCTTGCCGGACGGCACCAGATTCGGATTCGGCGGACTGGCCGCGCTTCTGCCCTTCAGTACAGCCGGGTAACTCGTGACCTTGACCGCGGGGGCGGCCCCGGGTGGATGCTCGTGATGCGGACCTTGACCGGCAGCCAGGCTCAACGGGGGTGGGCTCAGCGGACCGGCGGCAAGATTAACCGGGGTCGAGGTGGCGATCGGCGCCGAGACGCTCGTGACCACCGCGTTCGTCGCGCTGATCGCAGAATCGGGCGGGCTAACTGCTGATCGTAGTCGTTCGAGGTCATTCGAGGCCGTCCGGGGTTTCAACGAGGGAGTCGCGTGTGCAGCGTCGTGATGGCGCGGGGTGGGGAGACAGAGAGAGGCAGGCAAAAAGAGAGAAACAGAGAAGCCGGATGAGAGAAGTTGAATGATCGCGGAACTGTGCAACGTTGATTCTTTCTTCAGTGGTTCGGAGTGCGATTCTCCTTAATTTTGCGATTTATTGTAACATGGGCGGGGGAGGGGGGGGGGGGGAGATACGTTATCAAAGGAGGATGATCGAAAGAAAATTCGTGACCAGTGCAATATGTGAAATTTATTTTTCCTACGATCATCATATGATTATTTCATTATAAGAGATTCGCGAGATCAGGAATTAAAATAGAATGTCGAATTTACGTTGCACAGTCCATTCCAAAAATTATTAATTTGCGATTTTAATTAAGCGACAAATGGTATGATTGACAATTTATTATTGTAATACGAAGTCGATTGAATTATTTCCAATCTAATCATTAGACAAATCATGTAATGTAGCAAATATTATACATATATGTATAGTTTTCCAAAATTTTGTTCTAAATTTTACTAGTCGAGAGTAAAGAACATGTGTCATGTTTTCCGAGTGCCACATTGTTCATAACGGTATATTTTCACGATATCAAAATCCAATCTTGAGAATAAATCCACATGGCAATGAACAACTTTACATTATAAGTGATCGTATGAGACTCACCGGCTTTTGTGGGTGATGTAGCATGCATTGCTGAACCTCCAGTTGCCGTCACCGCTAAACCACCATATAACACCATGTACCATTACCGTACAGTCGTATGTCCAGTTCTTAATCGGACAGAGAAACTCACCACGGATTTCCCGAGTATCCAAAACACGAAAGCCATTCAATGCCAAAAGCGCGTTCCAAGCACAAGATCTCGCCTTCGAGATCGCGAAATCTCTTTATCATAGAGTTTAAAATCGGTGTAATAAAAAAGAATTCAATCTTCGAAGCTGCAGATATTGCACAAAGATATATCTTGCTACATTTTGTTACATTTCGCGCTGCGAACAAATTACTTTCACATTTCTGCAGCATCGAAATCATAGGCTCATCGGCATAAATCATTCAAATCCTGTGCTTTTTTTATCGTAAAATTTGGCGTCTGCCGCTACGATTTTATCAAGCATTTCACTTGCAGCGTGAGCAAAGCACGATAAAAGCGAAACCCGCTGAAATCGCGCGATTCGAGTTTCTCTGTCGCTGTTGTCGGCCGCAAGAGTCCCGAGACGAAATCAGGATTCGAGCAAGGAACGTTCGTGTGATGGGAAAATAATATTGATTGACATTCACGACGTAAAGCTGTGTACGTAGGATAATTGTGTCAGTGAACGAATTACAAGGGATACAAGGGCGGATAAAGTGATACGGATTGCAAAAATTCGTGAATTAATGAAATTATTTTGCTAGGTGTGAAATATAATTTCAATAAAATGTGTAGTTATTGCTTTCTATTATGTACAATACGTAATTCCGCCTTTAATATTTACAAAAATTTCATCACGTTTACCGGTTGTCTATTATTCGAATCAATGTGTATATATACAAATCTACGTTATCGATGGTAAAAAATTAATTAAACTTACTAATAAAAATCTCGAACGTTACTCTTGTTACAATGTGCACGTTTAAAATCTAATTAAATAATTAGAGATCATAATGGATGTACATACGCTTCGTATACACATAATGCAAAATCCATATGGATCCAAGTTGGGATGAGGAAGTCGGATAGGATTAGATGGGACTTCATCTAGAATTCTCGACGTTTTCACATATCGGCACTGTCGTGAATGCTTTAGAAGCGGGTAACGTGGGAATGCCGCAACTAACAATAAGTTTACTGCACTGATCGCTGTGCCTGGCTATACATGTGAAATCCAGCGCAAAGCCAATAATAGAACCGTGAGAAAACGTTTTGTCGAAATCTTTGGCACGATTTTCGGAATCAAAATTCACGTTTTTTTTTATTATTATTATGAGATCGTCTAAATTTCAAATTGTGATACTGACATGCTTTGTGTCGTGTTTGCAATCAGATGTACGTATCTCTTCAATATAATTAATTCTTTCATCGTGATTTACTGTTATGCTACTTTATAGGAGTCAGATATGTTGAGTATTACGAATACCCTATTTTCATCTTTCGCGATCCATTATTGATGACATTCCGAAAACCGATCAATTTCTCGCGTGATGTCATAAACAAGCGTAAAGAACTTTTGAATAATAAAAAGTTGAGAATTCGTTTAAATTGAAACGCGTTTAACTCACCGGTAGAATCGAAGTCACCTTCCAGCGGTCTCAGTGGTCTGCTTATGCTTTTCCTCTTCGATGGGGAATGTTTTAAGGCTGTAACATAAAACAGGCGATGCCGTAATTTCTTGCGCGAGCTGTGCAAACCGAACATCAAGTTTTTGATAAAAACCATTTTGGCAATTGCATATGTTAAATACGCCTATCGATAAAAAAATGGCTGTAACAAATTATGCCACAAAAGCTGACATCAGTACTGTAGCAAGGATCGAAAGGAATATTAGCTTTATCTCCTCACTGTTTACAGAAGTTATCATGCGTCTAATTGTTAGTGAAATGATGCAAATCATCGTGTAATTTTGCTTAATTTTAACAATTGTGCATATCCATTTTTTTTATCATTTTTAATATCATGAAACAAATTTAAAAAAAAAATATTCTCTTAATTTTTACAGATGCATTTACAACTAATTCTATCAACCGTTTAAAATTATGAAAAAAATACCGATATATTTAATAAAATAATAAAAAATAGATTTTTGTTACCGTAGCTTCTTTCATTTATTAATTTTAATTTAAAAAAATCTAAATTTTCTTTTCAAAGTAACAAGTTTCGCTAAAGCACTGGCTGTCATGACTATGTATGTTCAAATGTTGCTTCTTTCTCGGGCTACAACTACTGTCTATTGATAAACGCTAAACTATGAATGTGAATACTCTTAAATTTTAATTATGCTAATCGCAGATGTAAAATGTCTAACACATATTATACGTATAGATAGTAAAGATATATTCAAGCCGACAACATCTATGGGCTCCGCTTTCCATTAACGATTGTTACCTATGTTACTACGTTTTAATCCATGCCTAAACAAGTTAGTTACATAAAGATATTTACGTACATGAAAATTGTGCTGGCGTCTGTAGAAATATATTTTATGCATATGTAATAAATAGATATCCCATTAATTGCATATTTATCTATCGGTCCGTGCCGTGATTATAGGGTATGTCTAGGCTAAACTAATTGCTGCATGAAATCGACTGTGATAGGATAACTTCGAGGAATTGCAGATAAAGAGATTCAGTGAAAATATATATTGGATAAACGCGAAAATAGAACTTTTGTTGTAAAAATACTATGTAAAAATATAGTGTGGGAAAAGGGTGAGTTCATCATCCACAATTAATAGTGGGTCACTCTTGGATATTGGGAAGAATGACCTAGATTTATAAAAAAAAATTCGTGGTCTGTGTTGCGAAATATACGTCTGGGCGAACTGTGTGTCCAAAAATAGGGAACAGAGAGAGAGAGAAGTGTGAAGAATGATAAAAAAGTGTATGTATCAGGCGGACAACTTCACAGGCAACGCTTGCAAAAATAGAAACAAGAAGCACACTCACAAAGATGTTTGAAAAAGTTCATTCGCATAATTTCGCAGCTTAAATTCGTTGGCTATTCATCACAAATACGATTAAAAAGATTATTTTTCTAGAAATATTCAAGTAAAGAAATCTTAAGCATAAGCATGTTAGTAGAAAAAACGCAAAAAATTGTGCTGAAAGTTTATCTGTAAAAAAAATTTACATTATAAGCGAGCTGTAAAGTTTAGGCAATTGATTTTTTTTTTAAATCCATTAGATATTTCTTTCAATTTGAGGCAAATAAAAAATAAACGGCAGATAAAGATAAACGTGCCCTATTCTAATATAATTAATAGCATTTCTTTGATTATGCCGCATGCAAAAGAAATCTAACATCAATTGCTTTTCGTAGTAATTATTTTAAAGTCTGATAAAAATAATCGTTAAAATTTTGTATTCTTTCAAAAAATTTTACTAAACATTCTATAGCCGTTATTATTTAAAATAGTGTAGAATAAAAATTCACATACTGTCAAGAAAATAAAAAAATAGAGCATGAAAAACAGATCAATCGTAAGAATACAGGCAGAGGATAATATGAAAACAAACGTACATACATTCGTACAAAAATGGACAGATGGACGCACACATAGACAGAGTTACCTATGTAGCTGGTGACGAGGTTACGGAATTTGCGGTGATTCCCCTTAATCTCAGGCAGGTCCACTTTTGGTATTCGATTTTCGAGTTTCGATCGGTAGCAGGTCAGATCAGGTCATTGGGGGTCGACACGGAAAGAAGTGCACGGGACACAGAAACATCAACATTTAGCTAATTCCGTATATATGATTATCTATATACCGGATTATTGAATGAACGAGACAAAATCATAAGGACTGCCGAGAATAGATAGAAAGATTAACGAAAACTGAAGGGCACACCTAGTCTCGAAACGTATCGAGTTGAAACACAAAGCGACTTTTCAAAGCCACCCCTCCTGTATTCGGACGGGGATTTTGTTTCGTAAAATTTTGTCGCAAATTATTATCTGAGCAGGTGTTAATTAGATCTCGTCGTATTCGAAGATTTATGCGACTCAAGCAAACGTTGCTTTAGTAACGCTGCATTCAGCGTGATAATTTGTAAAACGATACAAAAAATGATATGAATTATATATGATTTTTCCTACTTTTGGGCTGTCAATTGTAATTTATTAAATTACGTAATAAACTATAAGTGATAGGTGATCAAACGGAACGCAAACGTAACACAAACAACAAACACATTGCACGATACAATATTAAGACAATGTACAAAGTATGACGCGTTATGATGGTGCAAAAAACTTGAAATCAATATGAATAAGGACTACGAGGAGATGTAAGTCATAGTAAATGAGATAATGATTGGTAGTAGACGTTACGGTAGTAGTAATAGTAGTAGTATAGTGATAGTAACAGTATAGTAGTTAGTAATGGTATTAGCAGTAATAGCAAAAGAAGTAATAGTAATGAGAGTAGTAGTAGTATTAATAATACGGTAGTAGGTTGTAAGTGTACGGGTGGGCTTATAAATGAAATGAAGTTGTAAACAGCGAAAATGTTTATTGCAAAATATATAAATATGTACAATGGTGCCCACGTTCAGTCGATAGCTGAATATTTTCACAATAAAAAAAGATCTACTTCTACCGATTATTCTCGCTCTCACACTCTCGCACTCGTCCTCGAATTAATCGTACACTCACGCGATCCCTAAAACTGCTACTATTGCCAAAAATATACGTTGAACATTATTTATATCGCAGAGATTCGTCTAAAGGTATATAGATCGCACAAAATCAAATAGCGTTCTTTATAAAAAGCCTCTAGAAGGAAAATTATATTCGGTACTCGTATTCTTCGCGAAGCGTTTTTAATTCAGCTTGCGCGGATGTATTTCGTGCGTTCTACTATACCCCTTCTACTAAATGCTTTGATGGACGAAAAGATCAATGATTGTTTTGACGCATTGGTAAAATAGAAATTTTTGTCATCAAGAGAGTTTTTTCATCTTGTATATTGAATAGGGAAACTTTTACAAAACTTTGGCACATACTACTATCAGTCAAAATAAGAGATTGTGTTAACTTGTAACTAACACATATCCGATTATATGTTATAAACTAGATCACGAAGTCGTTAACAAGGAAGAATTTTTGATTCAACTTTTGCGGATGCGACATCCATGAAAATCTTACCGTTAAAGCGATCGATCTTTTCAAACATAGTTCACAATGTAAAGTTTAATATGTAAGTGAAAATGCCGATGAAAGTCAAGAGATTAACAATAGTAATATATAAAAAATACTCAGCTATACCTGTGGACACCAGTGATCGGTCATTTCATTATCTTTTTCTTCTTCTTTTCTTTTTAATAAATGTATCAAAACAAAATTGTACGTCAGAGGGAAATATGAAATGCACAATGAGGTTGAACTGGCAAAAAAAGTTATCAAAAAAGAATGTAAGAAATTATATATAATAAAATATACACACGTGTGTTGTGTTAGCAATTAGTTACACCAAAACAAAACCCAAAAATGATCAATTGACACTCATAAACCCAAAATATATCTTATTCACAGCATTGATTCTAAACGAATGCAGGTATCCGAAAAATTCTATTTTGGATCGGATTGAATTCTGCTGATAAGTGTGGCATTCGTTGCATAGATAAAGCGCATTATTTTTTTCGTTTATTTTGCATGATATTTCGTTAATCTACGCAAGGCACTGGCAGATTAATAAAATTTAAATACAACCATGATATTAATGCAAACGTCGTGTCTAGATAAATTTCGGATATCCGCATAATATTTGTCGCATTCTCTGCAGTCACTCAAATATCTTATAACGCTATCATAATCATTAGAATATTTCTCTTGGACGGCTAAATCTGTCTGTGATAAAATCTGTAAAGACAAAATTGAGTCGCTTGCCTGCGCTTTCAACATTTTCAAAATATAAATAACTAGGTAGTTTGTTAAAGTTGAAATCGCTTGTATCAGTTCTGGTAGTGGATACAGTTAAGATATTTCTGGCAGCTAACATTTTGTTAGATTTCCTCTCATTATCTCTGGCTCATTAACAACGAATTTGTCACGCGTCAGATAAAAGAATATGTAACTATACAAGTAAATCAAGTGGACGAATTAGACGTTTCGTAGCGAATTGTAACAAGAAAGAAAAAATATATTTCTCTAGCTTACGGCTTACTGCTCTATAAAGACTGGAATACGATTTTTAAGTAACAATATAAGTACCTTACTAATTAT